TACAGTACAAGTTCTCCTATGTCCTGGGTCTTAATTGACTTTGGAAGACTAGGGCCAAAATGTTGGCTTTCCTTGTGTCCCTCCTTTTTCTCTAATTTTGGTCTGCAAACTTAGGTTGTTAACCCTTCAGAATAGAAGCTTATTGTTATTACTGTACAACCTAGGCTGTTAAGCTTAACCTCACTATATGTCTGAAGATATTTATAGTTAAATTGTGTCATTTTTTTGATTATGTCTTTGTGTGTTAGAGGCAGCGGGTACTAGGAAATGAGCCAAATGCCTTTGCACTGAGTTATAATTCATAGCCTTTTATTTTTTATTCTCACTAGGTTGACCAGATGGGGCTCAAACTTAACAGTCTTTCCACCTCTTCTTTTCACATTATAAGCATGTATCACCAGACCCATATCACTTGATTATGTCTTTATTTTCTTTTTGACAGGTCACCCAGTTGACAGGTTTCTCAGATCCTGTATATGCAGAAGCTTATGTTCATGTCAACCAGTATGACATTGTCCTGGATGTGCTTGTCGTGAACCAAACCAGTGATACTCTGCAGAACTGCACATTGGAGTTAGCTACTCTAGGTGAGGAAATTTATCGTAAAGGAAAGGTATTTTTATATATTGTATCTTTATGATAATTATCAAGAGATGTGCATAGATTTCAGTATAAGTATTGTTTTGAGCCCTTTGTGATACTTTAAATAAAGGCTTAGTTTTATGTTTAAAATTTAGACTTTTTCAACTCTAGTTTTTCAATCATTGGCCATACTGACTGACTTTTGATCTTGACATATTCCAATGGGTTAAGTTCTTAGGTTTGATCTAGAAAATGTCAGTATGTTTAGCTATAACAGCTGTTTAAGGTATAGATTTACCAGGGAGCTCACTCCATTAAATTTATGATTGAATTAGTACAAAACTCATTCTGTTGTGCTGGCCAAATAGTTCAGCGGATTAAAGCGCCTGCTTAGGCATATTCAGGGTCCTAGAGTTCAATACCCAGGCCTGCTGTGCTGGCCACGCCCCCAGGTCACACTGAGACGGCAATTGAGATTGGGCATGGTGGTGCTTGCCTGTAATCCCAACTCTTGGGAAGCTATAAACAGGCGGATCATGACAAGTCCCATCTAGTAGTGAGACCCTGAACACTCTGTAGACCCTTCCCTAAAAAATACCAAAAGAAAAAAAATAAAATGGTATGATCAAAGTAACCCATACATGAACTAAACACAGATGTATTCCAGGATGTCTGTTATCTTTTCAAAGAAAATGTACAGATTGACATGCAGATTAAGACTGTTAAAAGAAACTTTATTTTGTTCTCATAATGCTTAAGTCATATTCTTCTCATGTGTCTTTTATATTGTTAGAAACTGCTAAGTTGCATGTACTTCAATGTTTTCTGGCTAATCTGTATATTCTTAATTTCTATGTATTTTTAACCATGTCCAAACCTTCCCCTACCTGTTCCCAGGAGATCTGAAACTTGTGGAAAAGCCTTCTCCTTTGACTCTTGCACCTCATGATTTTGCAAATATTAAAGCTAATGTCAAAGTAGCATCAACAGAAAATGGAATAATTTTTGGTAATATAGGTAAGGTACTGTTGGATGGTGTGTGATATATAAAGACTTTCAAAGTTGAGTGGCTGAATCTGTTTATAGAGCAGTTTATGGTACCAAGGTTGTGCTATGTACTGGATGTGCAGAAATGAGCCAAATAGAGTCAGAATCCTAAAGAAAACACAAGGCTTGTGCAGGTGTGGTGTTGCATCTTTTCATCTTGTAATTCTAGCTACTTGGGAAGGCTGAGGCCAGCCTGGGCAACTTAGTGAGATTGTGTCTCAAAATAAAATATAGAAAGGTTGAAGATGTACATCAGCATTCCCTGGGTTCAGTCCCTAATGTTAACAAAACAAAGAAGAAAAGAGGCTGGGGAGATAGCACAGTGGTCTAAGCACCTGCTTGGCAAGCGCATGGACCCAGCTTCGATCCCTGGTACCACAGGCTGTGCCGGCAACTGAAACCAGGCGTGGTGGTGCATGCCCATAATCCAAGCACTAGGGAGGCTGAGACAAGAGGATCACCGTGAGTCTGAGCTGCATAGCAAGACCCTATACCAAATAAATAAATGATTTTTTTAAATTTTTTAAAAAGAGAAAATCTGTGAGGCAAAAGGAAGAGTTAGAGAAGGAAGTATATAATTAGAATACAGTGTGATAAGAACAAGTTGATCTATAATATGCTCTGGGATTAAACAAAAAATACTAGCTGTGGAAAGCTTTATAAAGGAAGAGGGTGTGTTATTCAAAAGATACATGAAAAGAATGTGTACTTCTGTCCATAGCCATGAGAGTATATCAAACCTAGCTATTAGCTTTAAGGACATTCAGGCAATAAGCATACTGTCGGAGACAGCGCTACTATAGAGAGGAGGAAAAGATCTTTGAATCCAAATGGCTGATCATCAAGTAGGGAGAAGCAGGTGTATAAAATAGTACAGAACGTAGTAGTCAGTGCTGTTTGAGTTCATACTAGTAGCCTGGGAATCCATGAAGGAATTTGGTCCATTGTCAGAGTAGTGGGGAACTGAAAGGAAGGTTAGGAAGGCTTCATAGAGGAGCTTATTGTAGAGTAGGATTTTAAAAGATGAGGGTTCTACAGATAAGTAAGGATCTGGCCTGAACAAATAACAAGTGTGTTCCAAATACATGGTGTTTAAATTTTTAGAAATCTATTATAATAAAAGACATCATGCTATTGAACACCCTAACCTCAAACACACTGATTCCATCAGTTTTGCCACTTATTGAAGCAGTTCTGGAGGTCCTCTGACTCTTGTCTTTATGAGGTATGATCGAAAATAGGGCAAATGCTGCTGTTGAGAGCAATCCAATGATTTGTAGGCTTGTAAAACGATTACGGTACATCCTCATCTACCTTATTCACCAGATCTGCCATCATGTAAGTTCTGGATCATCTCCAAATGTCAAAATGACCATGAAAGGTAAACATTTTCAATCAGTTCAGGATGCAAAGCAGCCTTGACAGCACAACTAAAGACACAAAAGAGGACTTAAAGGAATGCTTTACAAAGTGGCAAGAACAATGGGACACATGTGTTCGAAGGGTGATTAATGATGATACATCTTTACTGAAACAGTTTTGTTTTAAATTGGAACAGTCATTGTATTTAGCATACCTCATACAAGTAGTGTGAGGAACTGGATGTTTAGAGTGAGTTGGAAGGTGATGGCTGGAACAAATGAACTTAAGTTGGAGTCATATTGTATTGCCATATTAAAGATTTCAGATTATCCATAAAAAGGAAGACAGTGAGGAATTATAAGTGAGCTACATCTAAAACAGCATTTTAGAAGAGGCAGGAAGATTAGTAGATTACTGATACATTTCTTTTTTCTTTCTTTTTTTTCTTACCAGAGATGAAACTCAGAACTTTACACTTGCTAGGCAGGTACTTGAGCCACTGAGCTATCTCTCTGGCCCTAACTACTAAACAGATCATTGACGAATAAAAGCTGATAGGTTTCAACTAATGGAGTAAAGGTTGGAATGAAAGGAGGACAAAATAGAATACATGTTAAGAAGTTACAGTTACTCATTAATGAGGAAATGGCTAAAGTAATCCTCATATCTCTAAATTGAGTTTGTTGGGCAGGTGTTTATATGTCAGCAAACCAAGGAATAATAAGGTGAAAACCAAATTTGAGGGAAACAGTTAAGTTTAATCTTCAGCAGGTTGGCTTTAGGGTATCTAAGATACCTTAACAAGTTGTGTAACCTTGAGCAACTTACTTTGTTTCTCTGCTTTTCATTTCCTGTAAAGTGGGAATTACTATCAGATAGGACTGGTGGGAGTATTAAGCAGGCACTAATTAGAATAGGAGCCTGATACATAGTATTTTATGAATATTTTCTAGCATCATAATTACTATTTAGATATATTAAACATTTTAAAATGAAATTTGCTGTTTTGACTGAGAATCTTTGGTTTGTGTTACAGTTTATGATGTTTCTGGAGCAGCAAGTGACAGAAATTGTGTGGTCCTCAGTGATATCCACATTGACATCATGGACTATATCCAGCCTGCAACCTGCACTGATGCTGAATTCCGTCAGATGTGGGCTGAATTTGAATGGGAAAACAAAGTTAGTTCTTCAGAGAGTTCCTTGTACTTCTTTATCCCGTTAGACTAGTTGAGGGGTTCTGTGGTGAAATCCCACTAAAAAGGGTCAGGGAAAGGCCAGGTCTGGTGACACACACTTGTCATCCCAGCGAGGGGAGGGACAAGCTTGAGGCCAGCCTCGGCGCAGAGTAAGTGCAAGTCCAGCCTAAGCTACACAGTGAGGCTCTGTGTCAAAAGAAACAGAAAGTTAAGGAAAGCAAATAGCCTTAAGTAGAAATCAAGCAAGTAGTTTGTTAACTTACTATTGTAAACTCAAGTGTAGAGTAGTTGTTGTGTAGCCAGTATGATTTAAGAAAACAGACAACTACTATACCTCTTCTGTGTACTTTGGCCTGCTGAGAAATTTCATTTGAGGCTGGATTCTTTTTTAACATTTTTTATTAGTGCATGTTTGTGGTACATAATTATTATATTTGTAGTGTGAAAAAAAGACCTCACCTAGGAATTTGTTTGTCAGTTTAGTGTTACTCTGTATAGTAGGAAGCTGGGACATCAGCCATGTGTAAGCACTCCCTTTCAGATGCTATTACATTTGTTCAGGGGAACGGATACATCTCTATATCATATCTTGATGAGTTTTGGTCGCCTTTCCCCACCTTCTCTTTCCCTCTTCCTCAGAGTCCTCTTCATCTCCAAAATGCCTGCCTCCCTGTTTCCTACTATTTCTTCTTTATTTTGTTCTTTATATTTTGGGTTTCTCATATAAGAGAAACTGTATTATTTAACCTGGTGTGTCTGACTTATTTCACTTAACATGGTGCAAGATCCATATATTTTCCCATAAATGACTTAAACTTATCCTTCTTTATGACTGTGTGTGTATATATGATATGTATGATATATATGTGTGTATATAATATACGTTGTGCTATATATATATATATATATATATATATATATAAAATTTCTGAATCCATTTATTTGTTGATGGGCATCCAGTCTGTTTCCTTAATTTGGCTATTGTGTTTTATGCTTCTGTAAACACAAATTCACATGTGTCACCGTCATATGATGACTTCATATCTTTTGGGAAGATACCCAGAAGTATAGCTAGGCCGGGTGGAGTTTCTATTTTTAGTTCTTTGAGGAGTCTCCATTCTGATTGTCATGTAGGTATACTGTTTACATTCTCACCAATATTCAGAGGTTTCTTTTTTCACATATCCTCACCAGCATTTATTATTTTTTGAATCCTTGATGAGAGCCACTCTTATGGGAATAAGATGACAGTCCAGTGTTGACTTGTATTTCTGTAATGGCCATTGATGTTAAAACAGTTTTTCATGTACTTACAGACCATTTGTTCTTTTATGAAGTCTCTATTCATTTGTTTCCCATTTTTTGACTGGGTCTTTTGTTTTGGGGAGGTCTGATTTTTCTTTTCTTTTCTTTTTTTTTTTTTTTTTGAAGTTAATGTACTCTGGATATTAGTTATATTTATCAGGAGTAGCTGGCAAAATTTTTTTGATCCTGGACCTTTCTAATTTAATATAATCCCGTTTGTTGATTCTTGGTATTATTTCTTGTGCAATTGGGATTCACTTAAGAAAGTTCTAGTATATGTTTTCAAGAATTTTACCTATTTTCTAGCACATTAAGTGTTTCTGCTTGCTAGCTTTTTTTGACAGTAGCAGGGATTGAACTCAGTACTTTGCAGTTGCCAGGCAGGCAGTTATGCCACTGAGCTATCTCCCCGGCCATCTGTTTTCTTATCTAAGTTTTTGATCCCCTTTGATTTAGTTTCAGTAAAGGGCAAGAGGTGGGTCTAGATTCACTCTTCTACACATAGATAACTATTTTCCCCAGCACCTTGTGTTAAAGAAGTTATCTTTTCCCTATTATTTGTTTTTAATCCTGTTGTCAGAGATACGATGGCTAAAAGTACATGGTCAGAGATCAGATAGCTAAAGATGCATGGGGCTGTTTCTGTCTTCTGTTCCTTTGGTGTATAGGTCTATTTTGTGCAGTGCCGTGTTGTTTTCATTATACGTGTTTATAGTGTAACTTGAAATCTGGAACTGTTGTGCCCACTACTTTGCTAAGGCTTGATTTTTGTTGAATTGCTCTCTATGCCTCATGTTGATCTTCTGTGAAGTTATTTATGTATGTCTATAAATTCAGATGCTAACGTATAGGTTGTTTGATTTTGCCAATGTTATTTATTTGTTGCCCACTCGTCCCTTAAGTATTTTAAAGTAGATTTTGATATAAAATATTAATGATTTGAACTTTTCCTTGTAGGATTTATGATCTCCTTTAACTTTTTTTCTCTTTTTCTGCAGGTGACAGTTAACACCAATATGGTTGATTTAAATGACTACTTACAGCACATATTAAAGTCAACCAACATGAAGTGCCTCACTCCAGAGAAGGTAAAATTTGACAGGGAAATTCTTAAATCTAAGAAAAGTACAGAAGAATTCTGGCTTTATTTTTTCTAGTGTATTTTTCTTATAATTCAACATAGGAAAACATTGTCATTGTGCATTACTTAATGAAAATTATCTGTGGAGCGTTTGAAACAGATTATTTTTTTCTGTTGGAATATATCATTCTACTGTTACCTTGTTACCCAGTTGAATAGTCTTTTTATTTTTTCTTCTTCTTTTCTTCTTACCCTTTGAGACAGAGGCTTATTCTAAGTAGTTCATATATGGGTACTGGGTTAGAAAATGTCCATGACTTCTATGGATGCTAATTGTAGGCCCAAGTATATGCTCAAATTCAGGACTGTTACACTATACTTTGTGCTATACCTATGATTATAAGGAGAAAAAGAAAGTCTGGGACCAGAGGCAGAGAAGCAAGC